ATATGCATGTACAGGTTTTTAAAAAAACAAATGGCACATGTTACGCACATTATATGCTGTAGACAATGTTCTATGACTTTTTTCACTTCTCATTGTGCGTCACTATGTATAGATTTACTTCTTTATTTTTAATAGACATATAATATCCCAAAGGATAGATGTGTTATAATTCATTTAATTCTTTCTCTGTAGATGAAATTTAGATTATTTCCAGTATTTTGTTATAGTTTATATGCATTTAACAAATATTTATTGACTTCCAGACAGTGTTTGTGAACGAAACACAAAAATTCCTGCTCTTATGTAGTTGACTTCTTTTACAGATAGGCAGACAATAAATGAATAAAAGAAGTAAATATATGTCAGTTGTTACTGAGAAATGTAAGGTGGGGAAGGAGGTAGGGAGTAAGGGGAGGGGTATGCATTTTAGAATGGGATGAAGTCAGGAGAGATTCACTGAGAGGTGGCATTTGAGCAGAGATCTGGTGAAAGTAACATAATGAGCTCTGAACCGGTTGGGAGGGCAGAAGGAGAGGAAGAGAGCATGCTAGGAAGGAGAGAAGTAGTACTAGGGGGCCAGGCATGGTGGCCCACGCCTATAATCCCAGCACTTTGGGAGGCCAAGGCGGGGGGATCACTTGAGACCAGGAGTTTGAGACCAGCCTGGGCAACATAGCAAGACCCATTTCTACAAAAAATAAAAATAGCTTGGTGTGGTGGCACATGGCTGTGTCCTAGCTATTCGGAGCCCAGGAGTTGAGGCTGCAGTGAGCTGTGTTTGTGCGCCACTGCCCTCCAGCCGGATGACAAAGTGAGACCCTGACTCTTAAAAAAAAAAAAAGAAAGATACATGTCTAATGTAATGGGGGAAGAGCAATGAGGCTATTGTCGCTGGAGTGAAATGAGCAAGGGGAGAGTGGGAGGAAATGAAGTCACAGAAGGTGAAGGGAATTAGGGCAGATTGTGTTGGGCTTTTTTAGGCCACTGTAAGGACTTTGTCTTTTATTGTGAAGGAGCAAGCCTTTGGAAGTTTTTGAGCAGAGGCATAATATAATTTGATTTACATTTTTGAATAGTCTCTCTGCTTTCTTGCTAATAGATTCTCTGGCTAGAAGCAAGGAGGCTACTGCAACAATCCAGGCAAGAGAAAGAACAGTCAAGGATCATTCTGAAATTTTGGGTCTGAACAATTGGAAAGTTGGAGTTGCATGAAATGAGATGAAGACTATAGTAGGCAAGATTAGGAATTTGGCTTTGGGCAGGTTACATTTGAGAATTTATTAGACATCCAACCAGAAGTATTGAGTAAGTAGCTGGAAATGTAAATTTGGAGTTCACTGGAGAGGTCAGGGCTGGAGAAACAAACTTGGGAGTCATCAGTTTATTAATGCATTTTAAAACCCTGTGCTCCCCTTGGAGTAAATTAGATAGAGAAAAAAAGAGAGTCCAAGGACAGCACTTGGGCACTTCAAGGTAAAAGATGCTGAGGATGTGAGAAGGATGCATCAAAGAGACCAAGAAAGCAGCCAGTGAGGTAGAAGGGAAACCAAGAAAACGTGATATCTTGGAAACTAAGAGAAGGGAGTCAACGATGTCACATGATGAGAACAGAGAATTGATCAATGAATTTAACAATATGGCAGTGTGAGTGACCTTGACAAGAACAATACTGAGTGAAAAGTAGGAGGCCTGTTTGTAGGGGATTCAAGAAAGAATGGAAGGAGGGGAATCAGAGACTTAGTCTAAGTACCTCTTGGTAGGAGTTTGTTGTAAAAGGGAGAGAGAAAATGGGGCCTAAGCTGGAGAGGGGTATGAAGTAAAGATGTTTCTTGTCTTACATGGAAAAATAAAGTTTTAAGATTATGGGTAATGATCTAGTAGAGGGAAAATGTGATGTAAGAGAAGGGGGGGGGAATTCAGAGAAGAGTGTGAGTCTATTTTAATAAATTTTTATGCACATGTTATAAGGATTTCTGTAGGCTAGACTCTTAAAAGGATTTCCCTATTCTAAGGGTATGTGCATTTTAAAAACCTGTACCAATTTATATTCCACCTTCAGCATGCACTCTTGCTAACATTGCACATTTTTTTTTTTTTTTTTTTTTGAGACAGAGTCTCACTTTGTTGCCCAGGCTAGAGTGAGTGCCGTGGCATCAGCCTGGCTCACAGCAACCTCAATCTCCGGGGCTCAGCGATCCTACTGCCTCAGCCTCCCGAGTAGCTGGGACTACAGGCATGTGCCACCATGCCCGGCTAATTTTTTGTATATATATTTTTAGTTGGTCAATTAATTTATTTCTATTTTTGGTAGAGACGGGGTCTCGCTCAGGCTGGTTTCGAACTCCTGACCTTGAGCAATCCGCCCGCCTCGGCCTCCCAAAGTGCTAGGATTACAGGCGTGAGCCACTACGCCCGGCCTAACATTGCACATTTTTAATCTTGAAAATTATTGCCAATGTGATAGGTGGTGATATCGTCATTATTTTAATTTGTTCTATTGCTTTCTAGAAACTCTTTATATAATCCATCTAATCCTTTGTTATATTTTGCCACATATTTTCTTCTAGCTGTCTCTTGCCTTTTAACTTTGCTTATGGTGTCCTTTTAACAATAGACATTTTTTTTTCTTTTTTTAGTTTTATGTAGTTAAGTTTGTCTACCATTTCCTTTTAAAGCATTTGGGTTTCATTTGGATGATATAAATATTTTATATAATCTGATACATTTATACATTTACATTTTTAATTCATCTGGAGTTTATTTTTGTGCATGTTATGAAATAGGTATCTAAGTTTTCCATCTTCCTCTATTTTTTTTTTGAGACAGAGTCTCACTTTGTTGTTCAGGTTAGAGTGAGTGCCGTGGCATCAGCCTAGCTCACAGCAACCTCAATCTCCTGGGCTCAAGTGATCCTTGTGCTTCAGCCTCCCGAGTAGCTGGGACTACGGGCATGAGTCACCATGTCCGGCTAATTTTTTTTGGTATATATATTTTTAGTTGGTCAATTAATTTCTTTCTAGTTTTGGTAGAGACGGGGTCTTGCTCAGGCTGATTTCGAACTCCTGATCTTGAGCGATCTGCCCGCCTCAGCCTCCCAGAGTGCTAGGATTACAGACGTGAGCCACCACGCCTGGCCTTTCTCTATATTTTTAAACAGTTAAATACCATCGGAATGAACTGTTTCTTGAAGGTTTTCTAGGCGTGAGCCTTTTTGCAGAGCAGGTCTTTGACCACTTTGTACATTTTTTTCTGTGTTTAATGATCTATATGGTTTATGTACTTCTTTTTAGTTTGGCAATTGATAACTTCCCAGAACATTGTTCTTTTCATCCACATTTTCAAATTTACTCATTTAAAATTCTGCGTAAAAAGAGGAAATACTAAGTCTTACTTATATTTGCACTATATTCTTATACTTTTATCTGAGCAACAGATGCCGGAGCTGTCCTTTCACAGATCTCGAGATTGGTTTAGCTGTTTTCAGTCCTTGTCACCTTTGATCTTGTGGTTATTCCTAGATTCTCATTCTCTTTTGTTTGTAAGATTCCTTGGGTCTGTTTCCTATCAGTCTGATCCCATTTGCTTTTTAGTTTACAGAATTTCTATAGTTGAAGTTTGTTGGTGGATATGTGCCTTTCTTGGTTTCCAGCATTTTTATTTCATATTTTTATATTTCTTCTGTCCTATTGGAGGGATGTGGGGAGGGCTGAGAAGCAAATGCATATTTTCAGTTACTCTTTTGAAATAGAAAGTCACAGTTCTTTCCTGTGTAGTTTTCTTTTATCATAGTTTTTGGTTTAATTGTTGATTGCACGGTAGTTGGGTGCTACAGCTCAGGTAGCAATAGACTTCACTTTTTTTTTTAAGTGAAACCAGATGTTTCAGTGGAATATACTCATTGAGAAGAAATGTTAATATAGTATGACTGAATATTCAAATAGTACTTTTAAACTAAAAGATATAGTCATAACATTTAGAAGTGTAAGGGATTTTACAGATCATTAGACCAACTGCCTTATTTTATGGATGAGGAATTTGAGGCTCAAAGAGATTCAATGATTTATCTAAGGTGACAAAGTCAGTGATCAAGCAAGATGGAAGGCTCAAGTCTTTTTATTTCCGTTCTGCTGTGCTATTTGCTAATAAATACATTCTTGCTGTTCTTAGCTAATAAAAATGTTTTTTTAACTTAAAGATGTTACATATGGTTTGTAACTGCCTCTGAAATTTGGTCTTAGGTACTTTATTTAATACAATGATGTAGATTTTGCTTTTTCTCACATAGATATTAATTACGATATAAATGTGAATTTTAAAAGTATGTGCTGTCAGATATACTCTAGCCTAAATCAAAACCATATTGTTTATTTTCCCCAGGTTTCCTCTTTTCTGCTTATAAGCTTTATGTGATTTAGGGACTCTTTATATTTCTTATTTTAAAGAAGCTTAAGGAATATAAATATAAATATATAGGCTTAAAAATGATTTTAGTAATAAATAAGATATTTCAGACCTAAGATTTCTAATTTTTTAGTTTAATATCACATGCTGCTAGATCATACTAAATTTAGAAGATGCTTTCAAAAAAAATCACTTTGCTTGTCATTTCTTCAGCAATCATTAGGGATGTACTTATCAAATTTTCATTGATTTACTTGGTCTTTAACTTCAACAGAAAGTTTTTTAAATGTAGGATTTTGATTATCGATATCTCATGTTTGATAATCATATCTTTAGTGCTTTAAAAGTGTTGAGGGTTTGTTATGTGTAGTATTAGTGGACTTGGGTAGATTCCCTCCTCACCTTGCAAGAAACTTAAGATGGGAAGTTAGAATGTAGTTGCTATAGAATTATATTCTAAGATTTGTTTATCTTCAGGTTTTAACTATTTTAGTGTTCTTAAAATACACAATATGACCCAATGACTTTTTTTTTTTTTGTAAACTAAAGAACAAGCTCTGTCTCCAATATGAATTCTAAGAATTGAATTTTTTTCCTAGTTGGTCCTAATGGCAGGTGAAGAAATTAATGAAGACTATCCAGTAGAAATTCATGAGTATTTATCAACATTTGAGAATTCCATTGGCGCTGTGGATGAGATGCTGAAGACTATGATGTCTGTTTCTAGAAATGAGTTGTTGCAGAAGGTACTTTAAAAATGTAATTCCTAAAAATGAATTTTTTTTTTTTCTGTTTCTTTTCTTTTTTTATTTTTTGAGAGACAGGGTCTCTTTGTCATCCAGGCTGGAGTGCAGTGGCATGATCATAGCTCACTACAGCTTCAAGCTCTGGGCGGCACGTGATCCTCCTGCCTCAGCCTCCTGAGTAGCTGGGACTACAGATGCATGCCACTATGCCTGGCTAATTTTTTATTTTTTGTAGAGAACAGGATCTTACTATGTTGCTCAGGCTGGTCTTGAACTCTCGGCCTAAAGTGATTCTCCTGCCTCAGGTTCCCAAAGTGTCAGGATTATGGGTGTGAGCCACTGTGCCCAGCCCTAAAAATGAATTTCATGAAACAGAGTGCTGTTTTATGAAACATATGGAAGAAGAAATAGATTAATGTTATATGTTCCTTTCCCCCACTCAATTTTTTTAGTCTTTGGGTGTTTTTAGGGAAAAAACAAAACAAGACAGAACTTCAGCCTTAGGAAATACTGCCTAACTATATTTTTATTTTGACTTGGTTTTGAAAAATAAGGAGCACTCACAGCATTCTTTTTGACAGACTCGACTCTATCTTTGACCTTTTAAGTATTACAATGATGTTATCAGGGTTTCTGGAAACCCTATAGGACAAAAACAGTAAATTGACTTTGACAGTCTAAAACAAATCTTATTATGTTTCTTCTGTCTTTGGTATTGCCTAAGCATTTTAGCCTGCTTCTTATATTAATACATAAATGCATCATGTACAATGTTTATATTGATAAATTACTTTTGACATACAAAGCCCAGATGGTAACTCCTGAATTAAAATAATTCAAAAGAATTTTTCTTAGATTATACACATTCCTTGTCTAAGTAAAGATGATACCCTGAAGTGAAAATTTGTGGGCAAAAGTCACTGGTTAAGAAAACTTCTTTTTGCAAATTATTTTCAGACCAATTGGTTATTGGATTATAGGAAGTGGAAAAAGAATTATTTGATACATTGTGCTTGGTAAAAGTTTAAAATGTTACCTGATGGTGTTCGAAGTTATAAGAATGTTTTTCTTTTTTCTTTTTTTCCCTCTCTCCCTTTCTCTTTCTCTTTTCCTTTTTTAATAGTTGGACCCACTTGAACAAGCGAAAGTGGATTTAGTTTCTGCCTACACATTAAATTCAATGTTTTGGGGTATGTATATTACTTTGGAATTAATTAGAAAGCAAATTATTTATTGTGTTAAAGGTGATTTATCTTTGAAATGGTAGCAATTTATTTACAATTATACTTTATGGCAGTTTTAATAGTCAGATATGTATTTCTTTTAAATCAAAATCCTGAATGCCCATGAGCCACATATAAATTTGGTATTACATAGAGATTGAATAACTTAAGATTTAATCATTTGTGTGACTTTCCTTTTTTGTAATTACCTTTTCTTTAATTGGAATGTTCTTAATTAATATATATACTATTTTATTCAGTGAAATTTTTGTTTTGTAGTTTACTTAGCAACTCAAGGAGTTAATCCTAAGGAACATCCAGTAAAGCAGGAATTGGTAAGATTTCAGTTAATTTCTTTTTATTTTACATGTCTATTTGTTGTAATATTCCTGAAATTTAAGTCACACTACCTTTATCACACTAATTATGGAGAACAAAATTAGAGTTGAAATTATGAAAGTGAGCCAGACCTTATTGTTTTTGGTTTTTCTTTCTCTTACTTACCTTTGTCAGAGAATTGGTATTCCATATATTATATAAATCTCTGGATGAGAAAATGTTATGATTCTAGTAATTATAACTTACGTATTATTTTTCCTATAAATGTTTGAAATCCTGTTCATCTCTAAGACTGCTTTTTATTATTTTTTTTTAACTCTTACACAATTCTTAAAAGTATATTTTAGTTGATTTACTAGCAAAGACGGGAAAGTTTCTCCCCCCACCTTTTCAATTCCTCCATTAATTCATTTTCTCAGCAGTAAAGAATCCAGTTCAGCAACAAAGCTAAAAGCTTTTTTGGCACCAGTTGTATGTGTACTGTCCAGTAATTCTGCATTAGTGACATATTTACAACCTGTAATAAATCTTCTAGGTTTGTCTTTGTATTCCATTTAGATATATAAGTATAGTATATAAGGTCTAGTATCTTGGAGTTTTTGCTGACTTCAAAAATTAAATCAAATCATTCAATTTGAAGGAAAAAATTAGAAATCAAACTTATGGTTACCTTTTTGACTTGGCTTTATGAATAAGAATATTAATAAATTTATTCTTTGTGTTTATAAAATATAAGGTAAATATATATATGAAATACACTTGACATTATATCCTTGTTCTCAAGTCTTATGGTTGTTGATATGTATGTTATTTACAACTGAGTAAAGTACTTGGTCATTTATTTTAAAAAATGAATAAGCCAGATCTGTTGTCTTCATTTTTTAAATGTGTGGACTAAGGCATTTTCTTCTTTTAAAGTTCTTGAGGGAAAAATAATTTCTTTTTAAATATAGCAATCATGAAAAATATTTAAAGCAAATGTATAAAGCAATGTGATATGCAGATCTTGGTTTGATAGATGATACTGGCTTTAAACCTTAAGAAGTATGGGTTGTATCATCTGTTTTCAACTTTCTAAATTGGGCTTTACGTGTATAAAGTTACTGTTTTTTCCCTTAACACAAAGTTATTTAGAGTACTCTGTACTGTCTTTGTGAAAGGATAAGATCATTTATCTTCTTTCTCACTCGAACCCACTTTATGGAGGAGCACATTAATATTCTGGGCAAGGGTTGGCAAATAAAACACATATACAACCCTATTCCCCTTTTCTGACCGTGTGACAAACATTACAAATTGATCATAGTTAGTGTGTGATAGGAAACCTATTTGCCATATATATCACAGATGGGGAAAGGCATTGAAAATAGTTAATTTATTCATTCAACAAATATTTGAGTGCCTATTGGGAGCCTGGCATTATTTCCAAGGGAGATGATTCCTCATTGAAGGAAGCTGATCCCTGCCATTGTGGCAGACACCAGACTGTATCTAATGGAAGGAGAAAATAAAATAAAAATGTAAATATATATGAATATGTAATATATTAGAAAGTTATATATTATGGGAAAAAGGAAAAAAAGTAGAGCAGGATAAGGGGGATTGGAGTGCTTGGGTAGGATTGCAATTTTAAATGGCGAAGTCAGGGCCTCATTGACAAGGTTAACATTTGAGCAGACTAGAAGGAAGAGGAGGAGTAGCTCTGTTGATAATTGAGGGAAGATCCTTCCAGGCAGAGGAATAAGTAGTGCAAAGGCCTGAGGCAGGGCTGCGGAGGTATCCACTGTTGTAAAGGGCTATGGCTTTTACTCTGACAGAAACCAGGAGCCATTAGAGAGTGTCAAGCAGAGTTGCCAGTCTTTGCAATGAAAAAACTCTAAGTTTCTACATTTTTCTGTGTATGTTTATGTAACTATTTTGATTATTTTAATGAAACTTGTTTTTAAGCAGACATCAGTCATTTACTCTGCTATTTTATGGCTCTCATCAACTTCATTTCTCCATTTGAAGTATAGGATAGCCATTTATGCTGATTAATGGTCTCAGAAGATTCAAAGTGGTATGGCAACACATTATGCTTCTCACCTTGTAAAGTCTGATTAGAACTGTATATTTTATTAGAAAATTTCTTTCACTTATCAATCAACAGCATAAAATTGAATAAAAGATCTTGTATTTTCATTCTGTCTTTTAATTGTGATACTTGGCAGTAACATAACAAGATAAATAGTTGAATGCTACCTCAACTATTAATATTTCCTGTTTAGAAAAATTTCAGGAGAATTTAGTTTGTATGTTGCAAGTGTAAGAGAGCTCAGATTTTAGACTTCAGATATAAAAAATGAGTTAATATGTAGATGTAGGTTAATGCTAATTAAAAAAATATATAACCATATGGAAACGACTCAATATTTATCTCTTTAGTGATATATTAGTACATTTTTTCTTTGGAAATACTCAGAACACTTCTGAAATGACTTTTTAATGTCTCTCTCCCATCCAGCCCCTCTGCCCCCCAGACTGTGAACTCCAGAAAAGCACAGAGCATGTTTGTCCTATGCACTTACATTTACTAGCACCATGCACCTAATAGGCAATAAATATATATCTGTTGAATTTAACAGAGGTATAGTATAATAAAATGTAGTGGTGGTGAACAGCTTAGTAAATCTATTACCTTTCTTTTTTATCTTTAAGGAAAGAATCAGAGTATACATGAACAGAGTCAAGGAAATAACAGATAAGAAAAAGGCTGGCAAGCTCGACAAAGGTGCAGCTGCACGATTTGTAAAAAATGCCCTCTGGGAACCAAAACCAAAAAATGCATTGAAAGTTGCCAATAAAGGAAAAAGCAAAAACTAACTTTTTGGTTTTGATGTACATATATTTAAAAAGTACATCTTACTGCTTTCACAAGATAGAGGATTATGTGGCAATGCAGGGTTTAAATGTATTCCTTATCAAATTCATGTGTAAATTTATACTTTAAATTTATAACGCTAAATACTGCCCCCCAAGATTGTTATCTTTATTGATTTTCTTATAGAGCACTATGAGGTTTTTAACATCGTGATGTATTTTATATTTATAGTTTATCATATCTTTTGACAAGACTCTTATTTCCTTATGTAAGTCAATCTTGCAAGTACATTTTATAAGCAACTGTGAAATTTAAGTTAAATATTCTTTGTAAACATTTGTACTATTTTAAATGAATAATGACCTTATGAAGTATGCTATCTGTAGGCTGAGGTTATAAGTACATCTGTTTTTACTGTATGATATTAAGAATGAAATGACTTCAGTGTCCATTTTTTTCCCTGTGTAGTTACTTCATGTTTTCATGATTTTAGGAATTGTTGCTTTTTTGATATTTGAAGTATGAAATTAAAACTTTACGGCTGTACTTTAATTCTTGGCATGTTGCCTCTGTGTCCCATTTAAAATAAAATATATTCTCATTAACTTTAGATGGGAAATAAGGTTGTATGTTGGTGGATAAATTTTGGCATAATGGTTATACCCTCTCAATAAAGGCTGTAAATGTTGTGTAGATGACCTGTTTATTTTTCTCTTTTGAGTAAATTTGCCTTCCAAATTAGGAAGATAGGTTTTGAAAGTCATCTCCAATAAAGAAATTGATGAGTTTTTTTCCTGATGCATAGTGCCATGACTCTTTTAGTCTCACTTTTTCAGATTCTTTGATTACATATTTTTGAGGCTATATCAAGTACATGTAAGTGTTTTGGAACAGCTTTCTATGTTACATAATGCCACTTAAGCAGTTGAGAAATCTAATGGAGATTACATTGTGTTTATATTCTGATTAATTTTTCTGGAATATTTGTTACAGAGAATTCTACATATTAAACTTTTTTTAAATGTCTAAGCCCATGCATTTTAATTATATGGCCTTAATGCTTTCAGTGTTTGAATCCACATCATTATGTATAGGAATGCCAAGTATAGTAAAGTACTTTAATTTTTGAAAAAGGAGTTGTTAAAATTTTCTGTGTGATTAATTCTCCATAGGTAACCTTGAATAAATGGATTTCTTGATTTATGATAGCAGATATTGGAAATGGTCTTAAAATGTAATGGATTTTGTAAAGCATGTTGAACTCTTTCTATGATACATGAAGAGGAAGTCACTGATAGATGCAGAAAGTCTCTTCTGGCTCTGTCATCAGACAGTTTTGAAGTGGAAGAAAGAACATTTATTTCACTCCTTTTTTTCACCTTCATCTTCAAATTTCTAGCTATTTTTTAAAGCAACTGCTTCATGAGTTACTATTAAGATCAAATGTAGTATACATGTTTTTGTGTTATTTATTGCAAAGAAACATAACTTATATTTCTGTATATTTTCTAATTTCATAAAAGCTTAAAAATTATACAATTACAGAAAATCATCTGCATTCTATTAAATTGGAGATTCTTAAGTGAATAATTCAGTGTTTATTAATAGAAAAAGTTTGAGTATATTCCGTTCTATTTATGTATAATTTTAAATACTTATTACTTAGCACATAATAAGCACCTGTATGGTGGTAGTACATTGGGTTGCTTGTTTGTTTGTTTATTCATTTCCAAATATACTTAATGACATTTTCATTGCCAGATACTGTGTTAGACTCTAGGTTTCAAAGAAGACAACTCTAGCCTTTATCCTATTTTTATAAAGTGTTATGAAAAAATAGTCTTTTGTTCAGTTTTTCAGAGTTACTGGAAAATTTATGACAAATTGTGCTCATTAACCTTAGAACCATAAAGGGTGATGTGGTTGATCTATTTGACTGTGGTGCAGTTATTGTTAACATAGTTTGTTTCAAATGACAGTCTGCTCTAAGTTTAAATGTTAAGTACATCTTTTATTAATTTCTTTGGGAATTACCAAGTTGGAGAGGTTGCAGCTATAGATATTTTTAAGATCAGAATTATAGACTATTAATCTAATACTAAATAATAAGATCTTGTCTTTAAATATTATTTTAAGTACAAATTTATTTTTGTTCATAGTCGTAGGGTGGGAATTTGTTTAGTAAAATAGAATATGTTAAGAGAAAAATTGAAGCTTGAATTATGGTTTACATTCCTGGAATTAGCAGGTTATGTCAAGTTGACTAGTTTTTAAGATATCCTGCTGATTAAAAAACTCTTCTACTTAATTATTAGAAATGAATTGGTATTATTTCTAAATAGGCCTTTTAAAAGTGACTAGAAATGTAGGAAATGCTTTAAGAATGGACAATGTATTGAATGTAGATACTTTTTTCTACACTTGATATTAGCCAAAAGGCTGAGAAGTGATACTTTTTCCTTAAGTATGTCATTGGAGAAAAAGATACTTTAGGAATCACTCAGTTTATGATACAGTTAAATTATAATTTTATGCAATAAATTTTCAGAAATTCTGGCTTTACAAAGTGACATTAGCTGAGAAAGATTTGAACAGTGATTCTGGGCCTCATGTAATAGCTAAGTTTGATATGTAAAGGGAAGAAAAAGAAGCACTGATGTCTCGTTTTTCTCCCTTCAAAGTATAGTTAGTAAACTTGCTCAGACAAATTCAGTGGCTTTTACTGAATGATCTTGGTAGCAACCTATGTTATATAAAAATGCAATGTGAATATACTTGACAAATACAAACATTTATCTTTCCCTATATCCTGGTCTAAAACTTTTCAATTTTGGAAATATAAGCAATATTTTGTTTATTTTAAATAGTATATTTTATAGTTATCATTAACAATTATGTTGGGGAATAGTATACAGGACTTTATAATAGATTTCTGTAGATTTATTCCACTTGGATAATTTGTTATATTGCTTGTTAGCAGGATTTAAGAAAATGGTTTGAATGTTTTTGGTTTGCAGATTCACTTTCCTATCAAAGTGAGTTAATAGTCATAGACTACCCTTTGGAATAACCACCCTCTGATTTGATGTGCCTTTTTTAAGTGCTTATTTTATGGCATAATTTTTAATACAGCCAGAAAGATTAGTAAAGCTATACAGATAAGTGATGGCTATAGTGATAGCTATTGGCAATTGAGGTTTAATTTTTAATTCCATGCCCACTCTGCCCCCTACCCAGCTAAAACCCCACACCAACCAGCTTGGTATTACTTATCTGTTCTTAATTGGTTGAAAGAAGATGCTGGTTTTTACTCCCCACCCCCCATAAATGTTTAAGTTTAGCAAATCTATCATGACAGAATAACTGCATGTGAGATGTCGATTTTGTAAAGTGATATATTTCAGACAGTATACAAAATTTGATGGTGGGAAAAATATGCTTTTATAAATGAAACATTTAAAAGACTCTTTTTTTATTATTTGCTTTTCAGTTTAGTGTTGCCTTTAAGGGGTACCATTTCAGTTATGGCAGCTACAATAAATGACTGAAGGAAATTGAAGATGATAATTCAGCATTTCAAGATGCTTCTGCTGAAATGAATGCAGACCTATCCAGGGCTTGAATTTAAAGTTAGTAATATAATATTTTAAAGCGAAGTACCCAGGAAATCCATGGTGATATGATTTGAATGAGATGATTAGGAGAAAGAAAAGAATGCCTTCAATTCCTTGTTATGTAGGTATTATCTGTTGATATGCTACATCGAAAAATGTTTTTGTATAAAGAAAAGATGCTTGTTATGCACAGTTTACTATAGAGTGCAATTCAATTTGGATGTTATCCAAAAAGGGTTAGTTATTAAAGTAACTAAAAAAATATTATAACAAAAAATTGCCTCCAATTTAGTGCAATAGCAATGGATTTCCTATAGACCATGTTGTAATGTATCTGGCTGGTATTGTTTCATTTGGTGACTTTTGATCTATCTAATAATGCATTCCTTGACTTATTTAAACTGAATTAATTTGCTATTCTAGTTCTGATACTTTCTTCTCTATTATTTTTCCCTTAAAAAATCATTATTGAAAAGTATGTATAGCAGTTGCTGGTGTTTGTGGGTTTTGACATTTGTGGGTTTTGACATTTGTGATTTTTACTATTTTTGAGTGACTTTTAGAGGTCCATGGAGTATATAGTATTTTGTAATTTTGCCAAGGTGCAATCTTAATTCCTGCTAAATTCCATGCAGGAAGGCGTTACTCAGTTAATGATTTAGCTTAGCTAACCTCTCCAGTTTTTTTCCTCACTTGCCGTCCCATTCATTTATTCACTCATTAAAATGGCTGCCGTAATTTGAGCTATATTCCCCTAAAAATCATATATTACAGTCCTAAGCCTTGGTACTCACATGCAACCTTATTTAGAAATAAGGTAATTGCAGATGTAATTAATGAAGATGAACTCCTAATCCAATATGACAGGTGTCCTTATGAAAAGGAGAAATTTGGACACAGACACATACAGAGAACATCATGTAAATATGAAGGCAGAGATTAGGGTGATGCTTTTTATAAGCCAAGGAACACCAAAGATTGCCCACAAACCACCAGAAGCCAGTTGAAAAGCCTGGAACAGATTCTCATGGCACCCAGATGGAACCAGCTCTGCTGACACTGTGCTTTTGGACTTCTAGCCTTCAGAACTGTGAGACAACACGTTTCTGTTGTGTAAGCCACCCGGTCTCTGGTATTTTGTTATGGCAGTTCTAGCAAACAAAAATTGTCATCAGATGAAGGGAAACTATTAAAGAAATTAATAACTTGGATATGAAAATATGTGTAAAAATCTTTGACAGAAGATAAAAATGTAAGTCTGAAGAAAACCAGGAACCTATGTAAACTTATTCAGGAGTATTTTTGAATTTTGGCAAAAATCTCAGGATTTAAAACTTGAAGTATCGAGGGTCTGTTGTACTTTTTCCAAAGCCAAAATGTTAAGCCCTTTCTAACAGATATTGTCAGTTATGATTGAGTGTGCCATCTTTAAACTCTGTTATCTTGGTTTGGAGAAACTCGTTTAAAGAAAACCCTATCAAGTTTCTATGGAGAGGAGATTTTTCACAAAGCCTATTATTATCTTGTGCCATGTGGTCTTTTCCTAATGTAATACAGCAGCCAGGTTCAAATAATGAAAATAAATACTTAAAATATCTTACACAAGTTGTGTGTAATTTGTGCTCTTGGATAAGCACATGCCATTTTAAAAATCCCATATTGAATTCATCTGGATGGAGATATTTTTTAAAATGTCTTTTTTTTTTTTTTTAATTCTTAACTATATGATGTGGTATTCAGTTTTCTTTTTTTAAGGTTAGGTATTAGAGAACTCAGAAGTAGATTTTTACTCTTAATGATTGGGGTCCAGTTTAGTTTTTTCTTTTTTAATATTCTACATGGCTACTTGTTGGTTTTCAGCTTTGTAGATAAAACATGAAAGATAAGAATGTAAATTAAATCGACTTTGATAGTGTAAAAGTAAAGGTGTAATAGACAGTAGTGAGTTAGAAATGGGGAGACGAGTAGAGGGCATCCTTATATGGTGAGACATCCAGATGGATGGATAAGGTTTTAATTTTAAGTTGCAAAGGTAATAGCGATATTATTTTTAATAATGCCATCAAAAATTGGAAGGAG